AAAATACAAAATAAAGGACTTGACTAGAAAAGAACAGAAAATAACAGATAAGAATAGCATAGCATAGAAAAGTATAGAATAGATAAGAATACTATAGAAACGAGAATACTATAGAAATGAATAGAATACAATAATAAAAAAATAGAAAAAAAAGTAATCAATTAGAAAACAATAGAAAAGATTAGAATAAAATAGAATAGAATAAAGTTTAATAAAATAGAAAATGAGCAAAATCAACTACAATAGAAAAGAATAGAACAGAATAGAAAAGAGTAAAATAGAATAGAATGGAATAGAATTTAAACTAACAGATTAGAAAAATATAGAAAGAATATAGCCATCTTCTAACATTCAAAGAATAGAATAGCGTAAAACAGAATAGAATAGAGAGTAAAAGAACAGAATAAAAAAAACATCGATAAAATAGAATAGAAAAAAAATAGAATAGATTAGAACAAAATAGAAAGAACATAGCAGTCTTCTGAAATTCGAATTTCGAATAGAATAGAACCAGCTATTCTTCAAAATGAATTTGGATCAATTTGATACTTTTTATTCAAATTTGATTTGAATGCTTTGAATCCATTGGAAAAATTTAAATATGGTTGAAAAAAAGTAAATTAAATGGATTTCGTTATGAATTCAACTAAACAAAATTAGTAGCTTAATGAATCGATCCAAAGCAAAACAAAATTTTTTCGTTCTGCACGTCTAATGTAATATTTTCCTAAATCGCTCCATTGTCTTTGAAAAAAAAAAAACCATTCGACCTGGAGAGAATATACCCCAATAACAATCGATTTTGCCCCCTATTCACGCAGAATGAAAGTACATGCCGTTGCACAAGACACATAGCTCTGCAATCTTTATATACTGTATATATATACAGTTGTGTTCAAAATACTAGCAGTCAGACATCACTAACCGGATCAATCACTGTTTTTGGTGGAAATGATATTTCTACATGGCAAATAATTTCCTAGCAGGTGTAGTAGAGTAATAGAAATCCAACAGACCCAACAGTCATGACATGCATGCTGCTGATTCTGTGTCATTGAATCACTCATTGAAAGGGGCGTGTTCACAATAATAGCCGTGTGGAGTTCTATTAGTGAGGTCATTCATTCTTTGATAAACAGGTGGCAATTATTGCCCTTATTTAAGGAAGGAAGGCAGCAAATGTTGTCCATGCTGGTTACAGTGCATTTCTCTCTGAAATTCTGAGGAAAATGGGTCGTTCCAGAGATTGTTCAGAAGAACAGCGTACCTTGATTAAAAAGTTGATTGGAGGGGAAAACATATAAAGAAGTGCAGAAAATGATCGGCTGCTCAGCTAAAATGATGGCAAATGCTTTAAAATGGCAACCAAAACCTGAAAGACGTGGAAGAAAGCGAAAAACTACCATTGGAATGGATAGAAGAATAGCCAAAATGGCGCGGACTCAGCCAACAATCAGCTCCAGGAAGATGAAAGAAGGTGTGACGTTCCCTGTGAGGACTGTTACAATTAGAAGACGCCTATGTGAAGCCAAGCTATCTGCAAGAAGTCCCCGCAAAGTCCCACTGTTGGAAAAAAGACGTGTGCTGAAGAGGATACAATCTGCCAAAGAGCACATTGACCGGCCTAAAGAGAAATGGCGCAACATTTTGTGGACTGATGAAAGTAAGCTTGTTCTTTTTGGGTCTAGTGGGTGGAGACAGTTTGTCAGACGTCCCCCAAACACTGAATTCAAGCCACAGTACACTGTGAAGACCGTGAAGCATGGTGGTGCCAGCATCATGATATGGGGATGTTTCTCATACTACGGTGTTGGGCCTATTTATCGCATACCAGGGATCATGGATCAGTTTGAATCCATCAGAATACTTGAAGAGGTCATGCTGCCTTATGCTGAAGAGGAAATGCCCTTGAAATGGGTGTTCCAACAAGACAACGACCCCAAACACACCAGTAAACGTGCAACATCTTGGTTCCAGACCAACAAGATGGACGTTATGGAGTGGCCAGCCCAATCCCCGGATCTTCATCCAATAGAAAACTTGTGGGGTGACATCAAAAATGCCGTTTCTGAGGCAAAACCAAGAAATAGAGAAGAACTGTGGAATGTGGTCCAATCATCCTGGGCTGGAATACCTGATCACAGGGGCCAGAAGTTGGGGGACTCCATGCAACACAGATGTACAGCAGTTCTCAGAAACAGTGTGACTACAACCAAATATTCATGAAGTCATTCAAAGGAAAGCAAAATCTTCAAACATTTCTCAGTTTATATAGTGAATGTTTGAGTTTGTGAAGAAGAATACAAACACTGCGATTTTTTTGAACCGTCTAATATTCACTTTTCTTCCTTTTTTTTTTAGAGGAACAACACAGATTTGATGTATTTTTCTTCATGTTGTGATTTGGAATAGAATGTGTCGTGTTCCCAATGCATTTGTGTGGATGGAAATAAAACCTATTAGAAGGATTTTTAGCTTTATTCACTTTTTTCAACACACTGCTATTATTTTGAACTCAACTGTATATCCTAGATTGTAAGCTCCCAGGATCAGGGCCCTCCTATCCCTCTTGTATTGAACTGTATTGTTGCTGTATTGTCTCCCGTTATATTGTACAGCGCTGAGCAAACTGTTGGCGCCATAAATCCTGTATAATAATAATAATATATATATACACTGCATACCATAAGGGTATCATTAGTTATTAGTGTTTCTGTGATCTGCAATGGCCTCACTTCCATCTGGTCGTTGAACCGTAGGAGAGACCTCCTGGGGTGTCCAATCCATGGCAGCTCCTTTGAACACAGAACAGAGAAGATGTTATGCAGGATTCACTGCAAACCCGAGTGATAACAGACTGGCCTGTCATTTTTACATACTGTACCCCAGGTAGTGGCTGTGTCAGTTAAAGACTGATCCATGAAACAAATTCTCTACAAAGCTGCGGGCCTCTTGCCCCCCCCCCCCCCCCCCCCCCCCCCCCCCCCCCCCCCCCCCCCCCCACCCTCCCCCCCCCCCCCCCCCACCCCCCCCCCCCCCCCCCCCCATTAGGCTCTAAATGGAGAATATAACAAATAATTTACTTTTCCTATTCTTCATGCTCCCAGCAGGTGGCGCTCTCCCTCATTCCTGCAAAGAAGAGTGCAGAAGTATTTTAAAGTGGCACTCCAGCCAAAACCTAACAAAGCCTGAATCTGCTCCCACCCCGTTCTAAGGCTATTCTATCTATCCTGTAAAAGAAAACTATGTTTGTACTTACCTGTTCTGAAGTTGCTCTCAAGTCACATGATTGTCTGCACTGTCAAGGAGGGGCAGCCAACCAAAAATTCTCCATAGTAAGCCAATGGGTAACACCAGGGCTGTTGATGCCGCCTCTCCTCTACTATAAGTGCTTCTTTTTTTACAGACTTACAACATGGCTTTGAACTTGCTAGACAATTTGACTTCTCACTGGAGAGTCAGTTCACTAGCACAGTTCCCCCCTTCTCTCCTGGCAGTGTCTAAATACTGCCTGTGCTGGCCCAACTCCTCCACACCACCACTGACCTGTCTATTTAACTAGATGAATACCATATGGCAGCCATTCTCAACCAGTGTTCTGTGCAACCCAAGGTTTCCTCCAGTAGTTTCCAAAGGTTCCTTGAGCTGTGCATAATGGACCTACCATTCGGTGGTGCTTGCATCATTTTGGGGCCCACCACACTTGGCAGGGCCTGCAGCATGACACCAATGGTCTTTTTAACTGTCTGTAAGGGACATTCTTCCCACTGACCCCCAATGTAAGGGACATTCTTCCCACTGACCACCAATGTAAGGGACATTCTTCCCACTGATCACCAAGGTAAGGGACATTCTTCCCACTGATCACCAATGTAAGGGACATTCTTCCCACTGACCACCAATGTAAGTAGCATTCTTCCCACTGACCACCAATGTAAGGGACATTCTTCCCACTGATCACCAATGTAAGGGACATTCTTCCCACTGATCACCAATGTAAGGAACATTCTTCCCACTGATCACCAATGTAAGGAACATTCTTCCCACTGATCACCAATGTAAGGGACATTCTTCCCGCTGACCACCAATGTAAGGAACATTCTTCCCACTGACCTCCAATGTAAGGAACATTCTTTCCACTGACCACCAATGTAAGGAGAATTCTTCACACTGGCCACCAATGTAAGGGACATTCTTCCCACTGATCACCAATGTAAGGGACATTCTTCCCACTGACCACCAATGTAAGGGACATTCTTCCCACTGACCACCAATGTAAGAGACATTCTTCCCACTGACCACCAATGTAAGGGACATTCTTCCCACTGACCCCGAATGTAAGGGACATTCTTCCCACTGACCCCCAATGTAAGGGACATTCTTCCCACTGACCACCAATGTAAGGGACATTCTTCCCACTGACCCCCAATGTAAGGGACATTCTTCCCACTGACCCCCAATGTAAGGGACATTCTTCCCACTGACCCCCAATGTAAGAGACATTCTTCCCACTGACCCCGAATGTAAGGGACATTCTTCCCACTGACCACTAATGTAAGAGACATTCTTCCCACTGACCCCAATGTAAGGGACATTCTTCCCACTGACCCCCAATGTAAGGGACATTCTTCCCACTGACCACCAATGTAAGGAGCATTCTTCCCTCTGACCACCAATGTAAGGAGCATTCTTCCCTCGGACCACCAATGTAAGGAACATTCTTCCCACTGACCACCAATGTAAGGAACATTCTTCCCACTGACCACCAATGTAAGGGACATTCTTCCCACTGACCCCCAATGTAAGGGATATTCTTCCCACCGATCACCAATGTAAGGGACATTCTTCCCACTGATCACCAATGTAAGGGACATTCTTCCCACTGACCACCAATGTAAGGGACATTCTTCCCACTGATCACCAATGTAAGGAACATTCTTCCCACTGATCACCAATGTAAGGGACATTCTTCCCACTGATCACCAATGTAAGGGACATTCTTCCCACTGACCCCCAATGTAAGGGACATTCTTCCCACTGATCACCAATGTAAGGGACATTCTTCCCACTGACCACCAATGTAAGGGACATTCTTCCCACTGATCACCAATGTAAGGGACATTCTTCCCACTGATCACCAATGTAAGGGACATTCTTCCCACTGACCCCCAATGTAAGGGACATTCTTCCCACTGACCACCAATGTAAGGAACATTCTTCCCACTGACCACCAATGTAAGGGACATTCTTCCCACTGACCCCCAATGTAAGGGACATTCTTCCCACTGACCACCAATGTAAGGAACATTCTTCCCACTGATCACCAATGTAAGGGGCATTCTTCCCACTGACCACCAATGTAAGGGACATTCTTCCCACTGACCCCCCAATGTAAGGGACATTCTTCCCACTGACCCCCAATGTAAGGGGCATTCTTCCCACTGATCACCAATGTAAGGGACATTCTTCCCACTGATCACCAATGTAAGGGACATTCTTCCCACTGACCCCCAATGTAAGGGACATTCTTCCCACTGATCACCAATGTAAGGGACATTCTTCCCACTGATCACCAATGTAAGGGGCATTCTTCCCACTGACCCCCCAATGTAAGGAACATTCTTCCCACTGACGAATTGGTTTAAGCAGGGGTTCCTCCTTGGGAAAAGGTTGAGAAAGGCTGCATTACAGTGTCACCGAGTCTGCTGACACCACTTCCAAGATGGTGGCACCCAGCAGCATTCTCAGGGATTTTGGATGTCTACTCATGGGATTCTTTTACAGGTAAAATTCCACGCATTGAGTACATTCAGTGCCCATACCACCCTAATGGAAGATTGTTGCTGAAATGAAAGGCCTCTTTAAATCCCATGCTCCAGGCAAAGCGCCTCCAGATTAAAAAATGCGCTTCGGCAAATTGTCAAGCCGATTCCATGCCTAGGAAGCTGCCATCCCCATATAAAACAGTCTATTACTGTTGCCATGGCAACTGGAGCAGCTTGACACCAATAAGTTCCATTCCGGTTAGCGTCTGTAGCGGGGAGAGGGGGATGTCAGGGTGACTCACCAAACGCCATTTCGTCGCCATTTCCAAGAAGGTGATTGCAGGGAGAGATCTATTTTCATCCAAAGTACAGAAAACAGTTTATAAAATACGACATAGAGCATCAAAAAAAAAACCAGCAGCCAATCATTGCGATATTATTTCCAGGGGCGCTTTGCTGTGGTAATGGCGCAATTCAGCGTTTTACTCTTAGTCACCGGTCACACTGCGGCGATTTAAAATGGTGCGATTTGTGTGCAATTTCAGTGCGATTTCTGAAGACTTTATCGCTACTTGTGAAGATTTTCAGCGATTTCTTGTCATTTGCTGCGAGATTTCCATTCTATTCTATAGATGTGAAATCGCAACAAAACTGCAGAAAAAGTCACGCAAGAACTACTTCAGAAATGGCGCCGCAGCGAATCGCACAAGACACTGACATTCGCATTCATTTCATGTGATTTCAGATTTCAATTCGCAAATCGCGCCTGAAATTGTACCGGTATGATTGGCCACTAAATGCTGATTTGGAGGACCATGGCAAGCTGCAACCCCATCACAGCGTATTCATGAACATAGATGGGCAGCACAGTGGCTAAATGGTTAGCACTTCCCCCTGGCAGTACTCGGGTCATGGGTTTGAATCCCAACCATGGCACCACCTGCCTGAAGTTTGCATGTTCTCTGTGCCTGCGTGGGTTTCCTCTAGGTACTCCGGTTTCCTCCTACACTCCAAAGACATGCTGGTAGGTGAATTGGCTCCTGTCTAAATTGTCCCTAGTATGTGTATGTATGAATGTGAGTTAGGGACCTTAGATTGTACGCCCCTTGAGGGTTATGGACCTTAGATTGTACGCCCCTTGAGGGTTATGGACCTTAGATTGTACGCCCCTTGAGGGTTATGGACCTTAGATTGTACGCCCCTTGAGGGTTAGGGACCTTAGATTGTACACCCCTTGAGGGTTAGGGACCTTCGATTGTACACCCCTTGAGGGTTAGGGACCTTAGATTGTACACCCCTTAAGGGTTAGGGACCTTAGATTGTACGCCCCTTGAGGGTTAGGGACCTTAGATTGTACACTCCTTGAGGGTTAGGGACCTTAGATTGTACACCCCTTAAGGGTTAGGGACCTTAGATTGTACGCCCCTTGAGGGTTAGGGACCTTAGATTGTACGCCCCTTGAGGGTTAGGGACCTTAGATTGTACGCTCCTTGAGGGTTAGGGACCTTAGATTGTACACCCCTTAAGGGTTAGGGACCTTAGATTGTACGCCCCTTGAGGGTTAGGGACCTTAGATTGTACACTCCTTGAGGGTTAGGGACCTTAGATTGTACGCCCCTTGAGGGTTAGGGACCTTAGATTGTACGCCCCTTGAGGGTTAGGGACCTTAGATTGTACACCGCTTGAGGGTTAGGGACTGATGTGAATGTACAATATATATGTAAAGCACTGCGTAAATTGACAGCACTATATAAGTACCTGAAATAAATAAATATCTACTTTCAAAAAATTAATCAATCTTACTTCCACAGTATCCACTTTCTGACCCGCCGCCGTACATTTACTGCGACAGGTTGGCTCGTACAGACCTGTACAGTGCGGCTTTCTTCCGGGTCCGCTTGCGCATGCATGCACAGACCCAGAAGACTGTGCTGTCATTCGCTGCAGCACAAGCTGATCAACGGGTCGCCAATGATTTATGGCTGGGACCCGCTGATCGGCTGAGTGAATGACAGAAGAGAGCTCTGTGCTGGTAAATAACACAGGGCTCTCTTCAGGCAGCAGTGATGCGCCATTTTTTTTTCCCCCTTCAGGCAGTAAAAACCAGCACGTTGCTTAGTGAAAACACCACACAGTACACACAATAACAGGAGCGAACTGACAACTCATGGGGATCATGGTGCCCCTGTGTCCTCGCCCACACTCAAACCACACCCAAAAAAGACTATGAAAGGTACCAGGGGCATCTCATGGGGCCCCCTACTGACCCCGGGCCCTCGGGCAGTGCCTGAATGATCAGTCCGTCCCTGCACACTAAACATGGTTAGACACACATTTAACCCCTCGATCACCCTAGATTTTACCCCCCTTCCCAGCCAGTGTCATTAGTACTGTACAGTGAATATTATTAGCACTGGTCACAGTGTTTGTGTCACTGGAGATGTCAATGGCAGTTAGTCAGTTTACCCCCTAGTGTCAGTTAGAGTCAGATTGCCCCACTATCGCAGTCCCACTATAAGTTGCTTATCGCCATTACTATTATAGAAAAAAAATATATCTATACCATAGTTTGTAGGCGCTATAACATTCACGTAAACCAATCAATAGACACTTATTGGCCTAAATTTATGAAGAAATTAGATTTTTTTTATTTTTAGTCAATATGTTTTATAGAAGAAAAAGGAAACTAAAGGGTTTTTTTTTTTTTTCAAAAATGTGGGTCTCGTTTCTATGGCAAGACATCAAAAAACCCGGTGGTGATCGAATAGCACCAGAAAGCTCTATTTGTGTGAAAAGAAAGGATATAAATTTTGGTTGCATATAACATTGCATGACCATGCAATTACCAGTTAAAGTAGTGCATTGCTGAACAGCAAAAAATGGTCTCGTCACAAAGGGAGCAAAATCTTCCAGAGCTCAAATTACTGGAACTGATCCCCTGTATGGCTCTCTCTGCAGCAGCTGAAAGCCAGTTGCAGGGAGAGGAGAAGACGCCGGCTTTCAGCTGCTACAGAGAGAGCCATACAGGGGATCGGTTCCAGAAATTGCACCCCTGCCATGCCGATTACCCTCCCTGCCCAATTCCAAATCACTCAGCTGCCTGGGCCCCCCTGCTGGCCTGGGCCCCGTACAGGAGGACTGGTGGTACCCCCTTATCCACGGCCCTGGCCTCGTGTACACATGAACTCACCTAGTCATTAAACTCTCCTGGCAGCAAAAAAACACTAAATGTGGAAAAAACGCAGTACTGCATTTAGCCACATTTAGCTCTTGGACGTTTATTCATTTGATTGGCCGGAGTATTTTCCATTGACATGGATAAAGGGCTAGCATTTAGCCGCATTTACACGCGTTTTTGTCGCGTTTCGAGTTTTTTTCCAAAATGTTCCTCTCCTGAATGCGGTTCGTCTCGTAAAAGCCGACATGGACATGGACACATAGGCTTTTTTTTTATTGAGCTGAGCTCAGGGGCTTTGGCAAAAAAAACGCCAACTCACGTTTAGGAGCAGCAGAGTACATGAGGCCTTACAGCAGTGGTTCTCAACCTTCCTAATGCCGTGACCCTTTAATACAGTTCCTCATGTTGTGGTGACCCCCAACCATAAAATTATTTACCCAGTAATTATAATTCATGAAGTGTCGTTTTACCTCCAATACTGCTGCTTTCTACACTGTAGCTGCTCTTTACACATTGGAAATATGTGTTTTCCGATGGTCTTAGGTGACCCCTGTGAAGGGGTCGTTCGACCCCCAAAGGAGATCGCGACCCACAGGTTGAGAACCACTGTCTTACAGAGATGTCTCAGCAAACATGGTAATGCCACAACATTCCTCTAGATGGCGTAATAGGCATTGAAGAGCAACATGTGGTATCCCGAAGGCTCCCATTGTAACTGTAGTGAAAATAAATCCTTGGAATTACCTTGAAGGACATGTGTCTCCTCCAACCCAGGGGCGGACTGACCATTTGGAAACTCAAGCACTGCCTGAGGGCCCGGAGTCAGTAGGGGGCCCCATGAGATGCCCCTGATACCTTTTTCATAGGCATTTTTGAGTTTGGGCAAGGACACAGGGGCCCCATGATTCCCTATTGCCCGGGGGCCCCATGAGTTGTCAGTCCGCCCCTGCTCCAACCCGACTACTGAATGGGCAGATATTTGTTTTAATTGTCCTGATGCAGCCACTACATATAAGGATTGGCCAGATGCAATATCTCACATTTTTGATTTTGACTTTATTGGCGCCTTAACCCTGACAACGCTGGGCCTCGTGATTGGCCATTCAAGGTTGGAGCTTTGAGTAAAATAAACCCTGATCTTGCTCCATGCTACGTCTCAGCATACGTCTGCATTGTGGGAGGGATGGGAGAAGGTGGCATGTCCTCCTTGCCCCGGGGTATCGGGTATTTCACAGAGGTCTGGCTGGCAGACAAGATGATGGAAGAAGGTGTTGAAGGCGCCCCTGCCTTCAACAACTGACAACTCAACTGAAAACTCACGGGGCCCCCGGGCAATGGGGGATCATGGGGCCCCTGTGTCTTTGCCCACACTCAAACCACACCCAAAAAAACCTTCAAAAAGGTAACAGGGGCATTTCATGGGGCCCCCTACTGACCTCGGGCCCTCGGGCAAGTGCTCGAATGGTCAGTCTGCCCCTGGTTGAAGGTATTCAGAATGGAGGGTGGGGGATAGCGGGTGAACCTATTATTCACTCAAACTGACAGATTCACTTTAAGGTTAGGAATGGATTCAGACAAATGTTGACAATAGTGAATCTGGGGCAATGACTTTTTTTCCTGCA